GGGTGGGGATCTTGGGCTGCCCTTCAGCCTCATATTCCCGGCTGATTTTCACCCTGCGCAGGGCAGGGGAGGAGGAAGGGGCACCCCAATGCTGGCACCCCTCCATTCCCCATCTGCCCGCAGGCTGCAGCACAGCCCTCCTGCCCAAGGATGCTCCGCTCGCCCCGGGGCTGTGCCCACCCTGCGGGGTCCCCCTGTCCCCAGGGCTGCCAGCAGCACCCCACACGCGCCAGGGGCCCCTTCCTGTGTTTGTTAAGGCGCCGTGAGTCAGGCAGCGTCTGGTTTTCGGTTCAAGCCAATATTTACCAGCCCAGAGCTGCCAAAACAAAGCTGCGGCTTCACCAGTAAATGCAGGGCTGCGGTGGGGCGGGGGGGAGGGAGGGATGGAGGGGGATTTATGAGACCCCCACCTCAGCACAGCCCCCTCCCTTCCCACCTCTCTGGTGCCACCACCGTCCTTCTGCGGGGACACCACAGAAACGGGGGCGCCACAAAAACAGGGATACCACAAAACCCGCAGAGTTTAGCGCTGCCTTCCTCACCCCAAACATCACTGCCCCCTTCCTCCCCAGCGCAGGACTCGGGGGTGGCAGAGCTTGGGGGGCATTTTAGGGACCCCCAGGGCTGCGATGCCCCGTCCCGGGGGTCTCTGCGGGGCTGGGGGTCCCTTTGGGCCGGGGTCCCCGGGCCGTGGGCACGGCGCCGCTGCCCTCTGCCGGTGCCAGCGCTGCTCTCTCACATGCTGCCCCAGCCCGGAGCGCAGAGCCCGGCCGGGTTTGGGGCAGGAGGGGTTCCCCGGCTCCCCGGAGCCTGTCCCAGCCCCTCCGGGGGCTCCCAGTGCTGAGGGGACCCCGCAGAGAGGGGGATCCAGGGAGAGACCCCTGTGCCGTGTCCCCTGGGCGGGCGGGTGCTGCAGGAGAAGGTTTGCTGTCCCCATCCCTGTCCCCAGCTGCCCCTTACCCCACTGAGGACACTGCTCTGGTGGGGTCTCCTGCCAAGAGAACAAGACTCTCCAGATTTTAACCACCCGCCACAAGTTTAAAACTAAAACCCAGCTCAGAATTTTCTCCTCTTGCAGCCCCCCTGAGCCAGACTGATGCCCATATTGCCCCCCATGTTCCCCTTCAATAATGGGGGCCCCCCCAAGCTGTGCCACCCTCCCAGAGGTGTCCCTGGTGTTTCTGCAGCTGCAGATCCTCAAGCTGCCCGTCAGCTTTGTCCTGAAAATGAAGTTTCCTGCAGAACCTCCTCGGCTGCCAGGGGGTGCCCTCAGCCTTTGTGGCCTCCCCAGCTGGTGCAGAGCCCTGGGGCAGTGGGCAGTGGCACTGGCGGTGCCTGGTTCCTGTGATCCCCAGGGATGGAGAAACACGGGGTGAATTCTGCACTGGAGGAGCCGAGAACACCCTCACTGATGATCCCCCCAGCTCCTGCTGCTTCCACAGCTCTGCAGACAGCTGCCTCCTCCTCCTCACCCTGTGCCACAGCAGGGGATAAACCGAGGCCAGCACAGCCTCAGACCCTGGGGCTGCTGCATCTCCCCCTTCCCTGCACCCCCTTTTAAACTCACCTGGAGCCGAGCTCAGCCCATGTCCTGCTGCTGGCCCAGCCCAGATTGTTGGATGATTGCACACACACACAGGTAAAGCCATCATGTCCTGGTGGCTTCCTCAGGGACTGCCTGGCCCTGCTGTCCCTGTCCTGGGCCAGGTTTGGTGAACTTCACACCAGGTTTGAGCGAAAACTCCACCGTGCAGCTCGGCAGAAGCTGGTGTTTATTCAAATTCTCCCACAGCTAAACCCAGGAGAGGGGGAAAGGCAGGGGCAGCACAGAGGGGCACGGGGGGATCTTCCTTCACCGCCTTCTGGACTCGTGGGGGTCCATGCAGATCCCAAAGTCGGTGTTGGTGATGGAGCCCACGATGGTCCTGTCGGTCTCGCAGGTCAAGCCGCTCTCACAGGGACACTTGTAGTAGACCCCATAGAGGCTCTGCAGGGAACAAGGGCTCAGTGCAGCGTGTGGCACATTCCCCACGCCTGCCCAGCCCCGGGAGCAGTGGGCACCTACCTTTGGGGAGCACTCCTGGGTCTCAGCTGCCTTCGGGGCGCACCGGGCCAGGCTGAGGCCGTCGGTTCGGTGGCAGCAGCCGCTCTTGCACTGGGCACTCTGCAGGCACAGCTCCCCCGTGTCCTGCAGCACAAACAGCACCACATCCCTCTTTGTTCCCCTTCAATCTCACCCTCGCTGTGAGCCCAGGGGCTTGGGGCGTGTTGAACACCAGCTCTGCCTGTTGGCTGAGGCTCAGCAGCACTGCCCCCATGCCCCACTCTGCAGCATTCCCTCAGTCTGGCCCAAAATATCACCCACATCAAAGAGGTTTTTTCTGCTGGGTTCACAGGAGGGCTGAGACACCACAGTGTCACAGACATCTTTTATGGAAAATCCTTTCCTTAGGATTTTTCCTCCTGAGAAGCTGAGAGGCCTCAGGAACAAAATGTAAACAATGATTATCTGCTGCTGTGGAATGCAACAGCAATCTGTGATTGGTCTCATGTGGTTGTTTGTAATTAGTGGCCAATCACACCCAGCTGGCTCAGACAGAGAGCTGAGCCACAAACCTTTGTCATCTTTCCTTCATATTCTATTCTTAGCCAGCCTTCTGAGGAAATCCTTTCTTCTATTCTTTTAGTATCGTTTTAATGTAATAAATATAATAAAATAATAAATCAGCCTTCTGAAACATGGAGTCAGATCCTTGTCTCTTCCCTCATCCTCAGACCCCTGTGAGCCCGGTCACACCACAGGAAAAGCATTTCCCCTCCGCAGGCCCTGGGAACCATCCAGGCTGGGGGTCCTGGCTGGCTCAAGCAGCTGAGAGTTTGTCTGCTCCCCTTTCTGTGTTCCCCATCCCTTTATGGAGCTGATTTCCCAGGCTCCAGGCTCCCTCACAGACACCTCCACCCCTCCGTGCGTGCCCCCTGCAGCAGTGGGACCCTCCTGCCTGGCACAGGGCTGGCGTCCCCTTACCAGGTTGAAGATGAGCCCTCGCTCCTGCGGTGCCAGCAGGGCTGGGGGCAGCAGCAGCAGGGCCAGCAGCAGGCAGGCAGGCAGCACCTTGGCCATGGTGGGCTCGCTGTGGCTGTGCCTGGGGCCAGCAGGTGCTTTATAGCCAGCCACAATCGCCATCAGCTGATGTGGCTGCTCCTATCACACCTCAGCCCGTGGCACTGGGACACGGCTGCAGTGCCCAGGGCAAGGGCCCAGCCACGCCAGGGCAGCCAGGTGCTGTCCCAGCTCCTGTCCCCACTGGCCATGACACCCTGCCCTTTAGCAGCTCCTTTGGCCAAAGGGAACACAAAATAATGGCACTTGTGTGTGCTGTTACGTTTTAGTTCAATGGCTTGCTCTGTCTCACCCCCCCCCAAAATGTAAGATTTATTCTAAACCTGTGACCCTGCACTGCAGTATCAGGTGTCTGTAACCCCATTGACCCCAGTTTTATTCCACACCCACTTTTAATCTCCCTGTTAAGCTGTGGGAGGCAGACCAGGTTCTCTCTTGGCCCTTTTTCCCCTTGGCTCTCCCTCTCTCCCTCCCTTCCCCTTCCTCCCTTTTCCCTCAAGAACCATGCTGCTCCCCCAATAATTAACACCCTCACCTAATCAGCACCCTCAGGAGCCCTGTGGAATCTCCTTGCCTGCTGCTCCCAGTGAAAATACAGCCTAGGGGGCCCTAATGGACAGCTTCACTTCTGTGCTTCCTCTTCCTCCTCTGCTTCCCCGTGGAGCTGGGGCTCTCTGGGATGCTCTCCTTGCTGGCTGCTGCTGATGGTTCCTGGGCAAAGTCAGGGCTGGTTGCTACAGCAGGAGCTCTGCTCCATGGGACAGCCACCAGATCCTCCATCTCCCAAATGGAACCACGGGCACCAAGAAACCTGCTGGAGGAAGTTCATGCGGTGCAGGAAAGCAGAGCCCCCTGCAAGGATCCAGAGCCCACCACGGTCCCCAGCCCAAGGGCCGCCGCTTCAGCCTGCCCTGCCCAAATATTTGCTGTGTTTCTGTGTTTGGGGGGGTGGGGCTGATGAAAGGCAAACAACCCTGAGAATGGCACAGATTCTCATGCCCACAGTGGCTTGGCTATTCTTGGATGTGATTAATGGCCACACAGCCCTGGACTTTGACAGGCACAGGGGTGATGCGGAGGCTGGCACTGGCTGCAGGGTGACCATCACAGTGTCACCTGTCCCCGTGACCCCCAGGATCTCACCGCGCTCTGCTGTGTGCCCTGTGATGTGTCCCAATTTCTGTGTCCCAATTTCTGTGTCCCCTTGGCTGTGACCCCCTGCCCTTCCAGCCCTCACCAGGGTCCTCCTACACTGGCAGGGAGCCCAAGGGCTGCTGCATCAGTTCCTGGCACATTGTGGGGGTCAACACACATCCTGGGTCTCATCCCAGCACACATCCCAGTGGCACATCCTGGGACACACCCAGGGGTGTGAGGAGCAGCCCAGGCACATTCTGGGTGTGCAAGGCACAGCCCAGGGCATTACTGGGGGCATAGAGGGCACCCCTGAGGGCATTGCAGGGCACAGGGGAGCTCTGGGGCACAGCCCAGGGTGTTACTGGGGGCACAGGGGGGACAGAACGGAGCCCTGAGGGCATTGCAGGGCACAGCCCAGGGGCACAGGCGGCACCCCAGGACAGACTGGGGTTATTTCGGTTACACTGGGGGTATTTGGGTTACCCCAGGATCCATCTCAGGGCACCCGGAGGAGGCGAAGGGCGCATCCCGAGCGAGCATCCCCGGCGCGCAGGGCGCATCCCCGTTCAGGAGCATCCCCGAAGGCGCCGCCCGCCCCCTCCGGCTGCGGCTGCGGGGTCGCTCCGGCTCCTCCCGGGTTCCCCCCGGTTCTCCGGGGGTGGGAGGAGGTCCCGCCGCCGCCGCCGCCGGAGCCTCCGCCGCCCCCGCTGCCGCCGGGCGGGGCCGGAGCGGGACCGGAGAGGGAGCCCCGGGACCGGAGCGGGGCCGGAGCGGAGCAGAAGCCCCGGTGCCGGTGCCGCTGCCCCGCCATGTCCAAGCTGCTGCCGGCGCAGGAGGCGGCGCGGATCTACCACACCAACTATGTGCGGAATGCGCGGGCCATGGGGGTGCTCTGGGCCGTCTTCACGCTCTGCTTCTCCATCCTGATGGTGGTGACCTTCATCCAGCCCTACTGGATCGGCGACAGCATCGACACGCCGCAGGCCGGCTACTTCGGCCTCTTCTCCTACTGCATCGGCAACGCGCTCACCGGTGAGCTCATCTGCAAGGGCAGCCCCCTGGACTTCGGCACCATCCCCTCCAGTGCCTTCAAAACTGCCATGTTCTTCGTAGGCGTCTCCACCTTCCTCATCATCGGCACCATCCTCTGCTTCAGCCTCTTCTTCTTCTGCAACGCGGCCACCGTGTACAAAGTGTGCGCCTGGATGCAGCTGGCGGCGGGTGAGCGGGGAGCGGGGGGATCCCGGGGGCCGCCCCTTTTCCCTTCTGCCCCCGACTCTGCTGGGAATGGGGGTTGGGCCCGGTAAGAGACCCCAGTGTCGCCTCCAGGCCATGTGCTCCTCTTTAGGGGTTACCAGTGGGGAGTTATTGGTAAAAAACTCCTTCCAGAGCAGCTGAGGCGCAGCCCCATGTCGAGTGATGCTTCCCCGGGTGCTGCTGCCAAACCTTGTGGCCCTAAACCTTGTGGCCCCAAACCTTGTGGCCCCCAAACCTTGTGGCCCCCAAACCTTGTGGCTGCCAAACCTTGTGGCCCCAAACCTTGTGGCTGCCAAAACTTGTGGCTCCAAAACTTGTGGTCCCAAACCTTGTGGCCCCAAAACTCGCTTCTCCCAGCGCCGCTGCTCCTGCTCAGCCGCAGGGAGGCTTCAGAGGATCAGTTTGAGAGCACCAAAATTCCCCCCCAGGGCACAGAGCGCTCTCCTGTGTTTGGGATCCGGCAGGAACGGAGCGGGCACACAGAGGTGATGCTTGCTGGCCCATTGTAGTAACTCCCTGAGCGCGGGGAGTAATGCAGAGGAGGATGGAACACGGGGAGGGGACTGACTGGCTGATTTGGTGCCATCACCGGCGTTTTCTCACTTTGCTGCTCATCCCCGCGGCTCTCAAACCTTCCCCATCCCTCCCCAAGGCACCTGAGACACCTGTAACCCAACTCCTGGCTCAGCTGGAACCCGAGCCAGGGCTTTGGTGCTCCTGAATGATTGATGTGAGCCGGGGCCACAGCCCCGCTGACACCCGTGGGAGGGGGCACGGGGTTCCTTCAGTGCCCTGATAAAGAATCGAGCTCAAGAGAAGATTTAGATAAGAAGCTTGGGGCAGCTCAGCCTCCTGGGGAGCAGCAGCAGAGAGGCTTTGCTGTGGCAGTTGGGGTTTTTCCATTTTTTGTTGTGGTTCTGAATACTCTGTTGTTCTGAATGTTCTGTGGTCATTCTCTTCTGGGGAAGAGAAAGTTGTCACGGGCAGTTCTGCCAGAGGGACAGGTACTGCTGCATTTTAGGAATTATTTTACAAAGTAGGCAGGCTAAGAGAGGATCAATTTCCTGCCCTTTGCTCTGAACCAGGGCACAATTTCACAGCAATTATTTCTTTCCCACTTCCCCCATTTCTCTGTTAGTTACAGGGAAGATTTATCCTGTATGAGGTTAACCAGCTGCTTTTCCATGAAGAGAAGTCCTCTCTGCAGATAAGGAAGCTGCCTGCTCACCTTGCTGCTGGCTTGTCCTCAAGCCAAGGGAAAAGAAAACATTGGCAAGGACAAGGCCACTGGCCCAGAAGGGGGTTCTGGTTTCTGAGCACCTGGTGGCAGAGAAGGAGCACAGGTGTGGGACAAGGTGCATTAAGGAGGCTGCAGATGTCCAGGAGGGGCAGGGACAAACATCTGCTTGTCCACCACAGTTTCTTGTGTGACAGGAGTCAGGGACTGCCCCACATCTGCAGCAGTTACTTCCAACACAGGAATGGAGCATGTGAAGGGCTTTTTTTAATCATGTCCTAAAACCTTGCATATTAACTCATCCCAAGCCTGGTCATTGTTCTTGTCCAGTAAATAAAATTTCTCTGAGTGGGGGAAAAAGGCAGTGCTGAGATTTGGGGCATGAGCTGCCCTTCAGCACCCTGCTGGCACAGCTGCCATGGCAAAGGTGAGCTGAGGTGCTGGGGACCCGTGACCAGGCTGGAGCAGCTCCCAAGGCTGTGTGTGAGCTCTGAGCAGTCACAGGAGCTGCTGCTGGAACCAGCACAGCTGAACAAGCAGAATTAATCTGCCCACAAAGCTGCTGCTGACAGCAGCTCCACCTTAGCAAACCCTGGGCTGGAATCAGCTGCAAGGTGCTAGGCCAGGGTTTGCACTGACACAGACTGAACCCATCGCAGTTTTGTTTGGAGATGTTTCCTTGCAGTGCCACGGGCAGGGCTCTGTGCAGAGGGAGCAGAGATGTTGCCTGGGCAACGCTGGGACGGGAGATGCTGGTGCTGCTCATCCTTGGCTCATGGGAAGGCAGCACAGCAGATCCTGCTCCTCCTCCTCCTCCTCCCTGCCTGTGCAGCACAGCCCAGCCCATGGGGATGAGCAACCCCAGTGCCTTCAAGGGACAGATCCATAGCCCCTGACGTGTTTGCAGCGTGATGTTTGCTCCTCCAGCTGCTCTCTCCACTTCAGTGTTGGTGCCTGGAAAATAGAATGCATCTTTCAATTGGGGTGAGTATAAAAGCAAACCTGTAGTTGAAAGCTTTCAGGTGAATAACATGGTGAAAAGTACATGTGGAATAGTAATTCTACAATTTTTATAAGGTTAGGAGGTCAGTGCACTTATCATCCACTGTCCAGTCAAAAGGTTAGTTGGTTAGGTAATAATTCCTGGGGCCCTGACCCTCTGGAAGCAGTCCAGGGGTTTCTTTTGCCCCACTTTTGTTGTGTCTGGTCCAGATTCTGGCTGGAAAAGAGAACATTCTTGAAGTTAGCTCTCTTCTTGGAATAAGACTAAACAAGTTAGGAATGTGTTTATAAGGTTAGCTTACTATTGCTAAAGGCAGAGAAGAAAGATTAGAAAAATACTTGAAGCTACAGCTACAAGTATTCTCTATACAGCTATCTACAAAGCTACAAATTTATACAAAACAAAAAAAAAGGTAAAAATCTTTGGCACCATCATCAGCTGAGGAGCTCAGCGTCCCCCTGTCCCTGCAGCTACAGGGCTGATGATCGGCTGCCTGATCTACCCCGACGGCTGGGACTCCCCCGAGGTGAGGAGAATGTGCGGGGACAAAACCGACAAATACACGCTGGGCGCGTGCACCGTGCGCTGGGCGTACATCCTGTGCATCATCGGCATCCTGGACGCCCTCATCCTCTCCTTCCTGGCCTTCGTGCTGGGCAACCGGCAGGACAACCTGCTCCCCTCGGATTTCAAAGTGGAGGATAACGGTGGGTGTGCTGGGATCGCTCCTGAACAGAGATTCAGCCCAGGGGCCGTGACTTGAGAGGCTGCCTAGAACAGAGACCAGACAGAGTCAAAGGAATAAAGTAGGATTTTAAATGAATATTTATTAAAATAAGTATTTTAATTATATTATTTAATATAATTATTATTTAATATAGTTATTATTTAATGTAATGATTTAATATAATTATTATTAAATATAATAATCATACAGTGTTAAAGGAATAAAGTAGGATTTAAAATAAATATTTATTAAAATAATATTTTAATTATATTATTTAATATGATTATTATTTAATATAATTATTATTTAATATAATTATTCTTTAATGTAATTATTTAATATAATTATTATTTAATATAATAATCATACAGAGTTAAAGGAATAAAGTAGGATTTAAAATAAATATTTATTAAAATAATATTTTAATTATATTATTTAATATGATTATTATTTAATATAATTATTATTTAATATAATTATTCTTTAATGTAATTATTTAATATAATTATTATTTAATATAATAATCATACAGAGTTAAAGGAATAAAGTAGGATTTAAAATAAATATTTATTAAAATAATATTTTAATTATATTATTAAGTATAATATTTAATTATTCTTTAATGTAATTATTATTTGACATAATTATTTAATATAATTATTATTTAATATAATTCTTTAATTCTATTATATTATCAGTATTGTTTATTAAAATAATATTTTAATAAGAGGAAATTTAATAAATACAAATAGCCCTTCAAAGGATGCACCTTGGGCAGTACAAGAGCCTGGCTGTGCCTCCACCCGAGATGGGCTCAGAGTCACGAGTTTTCACACTTTGATAAGTTTTGGTCCATTTCTATGCTGGGGTTCATTGTCCAGTTCCAGCCCCAGGTTCTGCAGTCCCATCCTTCTCCATTCCCCGTCGTTTGCACTTTTTGGGGCTGAAGCTGCAGCAGTGTCCTTAGTTCTGGGGTTGGAAAAGGATTGTTTTGTGTGACTGAGCTGTGAGGAGAACCTGCTAATACTTTATATGAAATTCAGAGTTGAATAGCAATGCAGGACAGAATCTGGAAAACATGAAAGTTAAACCTTAAGGCATCGAGGTCACTGCTGCTGCTTGGGTGGATGGTGGGTGGCTCCATCCACCATCCATCTCCCTCTGCTCTGCAGGGAGGGAGAGCCAGCAGCAGAAAACTGATGGAGAACAAGGCAGGAGCCCAAATCCACCCAGATTACATTTCCCAGGCCTCTGGGGCTTTGTTCTCATTTTAAACACCTTCCTTTTTGAAAACAAACCTGCAAAACACTCTCATCCTTTCAGTTTTACACGCTAACTCTGCAATTCTCTTTTTGTTTTACAGAAGAGGGAAATGACTGACAGAGCTGATCACCATGTAAGTGATAACCCACACAGATTTTTAATATTCCCAGCATCCACCATGTCACTGTTTTATTCTGATTACCAAAGCATCGACAGCTGATTTTGGTGCTGGAGTCACATTGGTTTTATTTGTGCTTAAAGAAGAAATTGTCTTTGCTTTGCCTCCCAAAACTGGGAAAGCACAAATCCTTGCCAAGTGCAAAATAAAAGCAGCACAAAATTTGAAGTCAAACTACATTTCCCAACAGCTGCCTTACTCTTTCTGTTCCCAGGGACATCCAGAGCTCTTCTTCCATCAGCCCTTTTCTTTGAAGTGACTCTTCTAGGAAGCTTAAACGTACCAAATTCTGAGGATTTTCTACAGCTGTTTTCTTCACCCATGGGGCTGCTCTTGGCTCACAGCTCTTGTGGAGCTTATTTGGTGAAAAGAGCCCAAAATGGGCATAAGAGTTTTTCTGAGTCCATCGGCAAGAGGGACAAGAGGGCAAGGATGGCAATTTGCTGCTTTTGGGGGGGGGTTTGTACACATTCTTTCAAGGAAATTATTTATCAATTAAAAAAAAAAAAAACAAAAAAAACCCACCAAACCACCAAAATATCAGTGTTTTGGGTTTTGTGCTTTTCTCCTGAGGGCAGAGGAAACCCTCTGTATTTCAGAACGGAAAAATTCCAGCAGTTCGATTTTTTACTCTTCTCCCCTTTTTAAAATGGATCACAACACCAGCAACAAAAGCTATCTCATTCTGGAAATCAAAGCTGAATGTTCACTAGTGAAGCAAATTCCATCCCTGAGCCCCTGACTCAGAACAGAATTACAAGGGGCATGTATGAAAACCAGGGCTCAGTTATTAAATAATCTGTTTATTGCAGGGCTTTCACAAAGGAGAAAACAAAATAAAAGACAAAGCACCCAAGTAGAAAGAATAAAAATGTATTTTCCTTCAGGTTTTAGACTGACACAAGTACAAATCCTTTATAGTGTGAGCATGTCACAGCAATTTGGAAATGAACAGACCCCAAGTGAACGAGCAGAGAGTACAAGACTGAATCATGAAATCAGGATTTCTGCTGCTTCTGCAGGGCTTCCACTCACAGGCTTGGCTATCATGGTAAAAACCCCTCATCCAGTCAGGGCTGGCAGAGGGAAGGGAAGGAAGGATGGGCAGGGGCTTTCAACAGTCAAAGAGTGCAGACCCCTTGTGGGAAATGTTCCTTCATCAGCCGGGCTCGAGCAGGCAGGGCTGGGGGAGCTTTCAAGACCTCAGGAATTGTTTGCCCTGCCAAAGTTATCTTCACAGTCAGCTGGAACCCACTACTGCCTGCAGCGCTCCTGTAACAGATACAGAAGTGACCCACAACTGGAATAAAAGGAATAAAAGCCAGATAAAAGGAAAAAAAAAAAAAAAGGAAAAGGTTACCTCAGCAGTTTAAAACACTTTTTGGTATGTTACCTGCCTTTTTGTTTATTGTATGCATAGAGAACCTGATCTACCACTAAAGGAACATGCAGCATGATTTGCATAAATAAGCCAAATCAGGCTCTGAACTGGAGAAACTCTGTTCAAGTGGATTAAATGACCTGGTTTGTGAGTGAATGATCCTCATGAATCACAATTCCCAAACACACACACACAGAAGTGACACAGAACAGTGGTCTTGGCAGCTTTGGCAATGGAAGTGGTCTTGGACAGCATCTGCATGGTCTCCAGCAACCTCTACCCTCTGCAGGCCACCACAAATCCAAAGCCTGTTTCGTTTGGTCCAGAGTGAGGAAGGGACTCTGAAGTCTCAATGCTGCCAAATCTTGCTTAGACAAGAGTGGGATGCACTGAATCTGTAACAGGATGGGCAGGTCTAGAAGAAGCCATCACAGAACTATCAAATGCCACAGTCATTTAACTTTTAATTAAAATGAATCCATTTAACCCATTATATCCAAACCCCCTCTGAGAAGTTTACATAGAAACCCCATAGAACATTTCTTACTCGGGGTAACTCTAGAAACAGCTTCTAATCCAGTATCTACGTGGAAAAGTCACTTCTCTTCCACTTCTGCTAGCTCTCTTCTTGTGCTAAAGGCCCAGAAAATAAAAGGCAGTCCCATCCTGGGAAGTTATTTCTGAAGGCCTGCACCTGAAGCAAATTAAAAGAAATCTTTCCACTGGAATTTCAAGTGTTGATTTTCAAAGTGCAGGGCTGCAGCATGGCTGTGACACAGGCACTGCAACCCTTCCCTTGGGAAAAAAGAAAAAGTGAATGGTCAAAAATGAAAAGTCAGAGCAGACTGCATCAGTGAAAGCCAATCTCTCATGAATACCACCTCAAGCAAGGCAAAAAAAGTGCCAGTAAGGGATAAAACCCCCCAAAAACGTATGGCTCACTATAATTAAGAGTTGAGAGGTGCCTGCAATGAGGCTCTCTCTGCAGGCTGAGGGTTGTGCGTTGAGTCAGCTCCAGCTTCTGCTGATTGTGTCACCTTTTAGTCACAGGTGTTGGAGTAGAAAACATCACCAAATCCAGAAACTATTCTGACTATCATGGGCACGGGGGAGGAGAAAAAGTAAATGGACAGGGCACTTTGGAGGGAGAAATAAAGCATACTAAAACCTAGGTTTAAGAAGCTCTTCCAAAAGCAGCTAGGACTAAATAAACGTTTCTGAGTGGAAAGCAAAGAACACAGAATACAGTAGACACCTAGAGAGTGATGGAGGATTTCAAGGTCTTTGCTCTGCCAAGGATCTGGCAGCACCTTGATGCCAACTGTTACTTCTCACCCCACCAGTAGCTACTGATCAACAGTGGGAAAATTGACTCCTGAGTCAGTGAGATCTTCATGGGAAGGAAGGAAGGAGAGTTGGAATTTAGCTAAGGGAGATATCCGAGCAGGGTGAGCTCACATCTGTCACACACGGTGCTTTACAGTGAGGAGACTGAGGAAAAATCTCTTATTCTAGTCAAACAGTCTTTGGTGAAGCCCAACCAAGGCAAAAACACAGATGATGCCCACTGGCTGAGGAGAGTCCCCATTAAGTCACACAAACAAACTCAGCAGAACAGGTTTAGATTTATCTAAAATCTTGGAAGCCTTGAAGGAAGAACTCCACACTGAAAGTGAACAAGGAGAAAAATGGATCTGGGAAAGGGCAGCTGGGTGTGTAGGCTATGCTGTAAACCAGAGTTTAACGTTGTGGCATTGCTTGGAAGCTTCTAGGAGTTAAGCCAGGGGTGCCTGAGACATTCTGCTGCTGTAGCTCGTTTCTCTGGGATCAGCTCCAGCATAGGGAGTAAGAAGTCTGTGAATCCAGCTGCCTCATCTTGGGCCCACTCGTATTTTTCCACCAGCACTTCAAAAAGGCCCCAGGGCTTCAGTTTGGTGATGTGCTTCAGATCACCTGAAAACCCAAGACAAATGGTTTGAGTGTAAGACACAGGAACAGAGCAGCTCAGTAAAACTGGCTAAACAGCTAAACATGACAGGGTGAGCTCAGGGACTGCTCTAAGGGGATACAAACTGCTAGGCATGCTGAAGGGAAAAGTCAATTATATTAAACCCCCTTTTCTATCTGCTTTAGAAGCCTGTTGTAGAAATGTACCTCCTCAAAGGGCTCTTTTTCACCTCCTGCTATTTCATATCCCCTATCAGCAAATACTAATTTCATTAAATCCCCAATTATGCTGCTTGACATGACACATAAACTGTGCCACTGACTCTGGGGTACATGCAATGCATGGAGCACTGTTTGAGAAAGCAACACACTGCTAATAAAGAAGGGCTTGTTTTATAAACAGAGTTATTAAACTAGGTCAAAACCTAATTTTTTTGACTCAGTGCATTTCTGGGGTACTCAGGACTTGATGATAATGTTCTGTGCTCTGAGCAACATGGCTCATGAGGCCAGGCACTATTTAAGGTGCCTTACATTTAGCTGCAGTTTTACTGATAAAGCATTTCATAAAACAAAGGAAAGACCCAAAGATGCCATCTTTGCTGGCTTCTATTTCAAACAGGCATTTCTAGCAAGACATTCTTGTGTATTTGGGCAAGGGATGAGGGAATAATGTGATATTTGCTTTGTTTCCTTTTACCTTTTTTGGTGAAAAACTCCTTGGAATATTTTCCTGCCAAAATGAGCTTGCGAGGTATTTTCCCCAGAAGTTCTATGATCAATGCGATGTGATCTGCATGTGAAAAATAAAAAAACCCAAAAAAGACAATGAGTTTCATCCACACAAAACCTCTCTATGCTTGTTGGGATATAAGGATATCTCTATATGCTGGGATTTAAGGATAAAGACACTATCCCTTAAAAATTACTTAGGAGACCCACCTGAAACCAGGTTACACTAAGAAACAACAAAGACAAGGAGCAAGGGAAAACAAATAGGGGCAATTTGAGGCACAATCAGTTTGAGACACAATGTAGAGAATCCAGCAGCCAGAGGAATGCAGAACACCAGAACAAGAGCATGGAGTTCATTGCAGTGTTTTACTGCAGAGGCTTGAGCACAGCTGCTGGTGATTTGGGTAAATAATTTTTGCTTTTTGCAAGCAGCTTTTGCATTGCTGATTTGTAAGGCAAGGCTCACTTTGAAGAGGCAACCATTGGATTTCAAGTCCCACTTTAAAAAGGAAAAACTGAGCCAAACAAACCTTCATCTCGTGAGTAATCTTCCCCAGAGTGAGGCTCGAACAGATAGTCCCCTGTTGCCAACTCAAAGGCCTAAACAAACAGAAATGAGCACATTAAATCACTTCAAAACACTCTAAGATGTGCTGCAGGTTGACTCTGCAAATCTCTGTGGGCCAGAAGCAAAGCAGTGGGAAAGAATAACCTGCAGAACTCCAGTAAACAGCTATAATCCGAAATATTCCATCACAGCCTGAACTGTGCAGTGACCTTGCAATGCTTTAAAAACAGCATTAAAAGCATCATAGGCACACCTGGGATGGATTTTGGGTGCAGGGCCACCAGTTAACCACAAAGTTAAGGTATTTCACATGCTTAGCCTTTCCTCTTCAGAGCTGTGCAAAACTAACACCATGTCCAAGCTATAGTTTCTGGGGTTGGTTATTTTGTTTTGTTTTGCTTGGGGTTTGTTGGGATTTTCCCTCTCCCCAGGTTTCCCATGTTTTTCAAACAGTTCATCTCTGAACATCTGTCTGCAGAGATGAAAACACATTTTAAATGAGAAAAACATCTGCCCTCATTTCAACTCAGCGCTCCTAAATTCTGTAACACATTCACCCCTCATGTGTTCACCTGTACTCAGAACTGACCTTCAGCCCAACTGAACTTGTACCACCCCTGACTTTCTGTATTCTCAATTTTCTTTAAGAGCTGCTGGTGCCAAACAACAGAATCAGGCACACTGTGTAATTCTGTGTAATTCTGTGTAATCAGGCCACATGCTCTGCACAGAAAACATCACCCTTCTGCATTTTCTTTTACCTCATTCATCAAAACCCCAGCTTGTTTTCCAAGACAGCAAAAATGTCTATTTTTCCAAGCTTAAATTATGAAACCCAAGCTTTGATTTGTGGGGCAGAGTGGGGACACTGAAGAGGCA